GGGGGGGGGGGGGCACAAGCGCTCTTGCCTGCCCCCCCGCCCATTGCCTTAGTGGGGAGCACTGGCTGTCAGGGGGTGCATGGGCACACCCATGCACCTCCTGCACATCACCACTGCATCATAACTCCAAAGTCCCTTTCAGCTATCATGCTAGCCAGGACATCTCTTAACCTGTATTCATGTCACTGGTTAGTTCTCCCCAGATGAAGTGCTCTGCATTTATCCTTATTGAACTGCATCCAGTTCCACTCCACCCACCTTTCCAACTTGTCCAGGTCTGCTTGGATCTACATCTTATCCCCTAGCATGACTGCTTGTCCCCATAACTTGGTATTGTCCACAGATTTGGCCAGCATGCTTTCCACATCTTTATCTAAATCTTTGATAAATATGTTGAGCAGCACGGGGCCAAGAACCAAACCCTGCGGGACACCACTGGCCACTTCCTGCCAAGATGGTACAGACCGATCCACCAGCTCTCTCTGGGTTTGACCTCTTAGCCCGTTCCCAACTCACCTGACCATGGACTCTGCCAGCCCACAATCCCCCAGTATTTTTATAACAGCATCATGGCAGACCATATTGAAGGTCTTTTTAAAATCCAACTATATGACAAAATAGAACATTTAACTTCCTAGGATATTTTGCTGTTTGTTGGTTTGTTTTCTCCTAACACAAATATTTTGGTATCATTTGAATCTATGTTGTTTTGCTGGAGGTGGAAGTTTCAGCTGAAAAATTCACACCCTTCAAAATGTTGGCACGATTGAACTGTTCCTGTGCAAGAAGCCACTTTTTCCTGTAGCTGTAGTTTCTTGTGGTATGAGTGCCTGCAAAGCATGTTACTGCATTTTAGCTTTGAGGTGACAAGTGTGTGGACAGTGTCGTAGCAAGGAGTGGGGTGAGCAAGGCTACTGCCCTGGTTGCCAAAGCAAAGGGGCACCAACAGGCACTGCCCTGCAAGGGTGGGGCATGGGACAGCTGTGAGCAGCTCGTTTTGGGGTATGGGGACAGGGGGCGAGCAGCTCCCACTGCTCCATACACTCCCAGGCAAGCATGGGGGTTGCTACAGCACTGTGCATGCATATCTCTTAACACAACCAGCAACCAAAAGAAAAATGTATGATGGAAATGTGGCCTGTTGGTTGTCAGCACTTTGAGTCATAAATGGCAGGCCCACACTTGGTGTAGAAAGCCAATATCCTCTTGTGCCATTTCATCAGTTGCCTCTCATTCTTTTTGGGCTGAGTCTCTTGCCAGCTGTTTCTTATACAACTCTGCCAGTGTCTGTACAACACTGTGTTAAGCCACTCACCATTTTAAATTGACTGGCTGCAGTAAATGTATTGCAAGTTTATAGGCCATGTGCACTCACTGTGGCAGGCACCATATATGTGTTGAATGGGAGAGGCTGACAGAATGAGACTGCACAAACAGAAGCACAGTTGCCAAACATACCCACTGGGAAGTCTCAGAAAAAATAGTAAAGCTCCTTGAGAAATCCTGTCTCTGCCCATCTGCAGACCCACTACACATCCTGATCCGGATGCTGTTGAAGTCGATAGGAATTTCTCTATTGAGTCCCACTAGACGAGAATCAGACCTACAATGAGGATAAATAGACCTCAGTAGAACTGAAACTTTGCCTTTTGTTAGGAGGCCCGAACCAGGCACTGTTGGTGAACTCAGACTGGTGGGGCAGGTGGAGCAGCACATGGGAGCAGTGCGGAGGAGTTTGCAGCTACCCAGGCACTCCAGCTGGGAGCAAGGAGGCTGCAAACCTCCCCCCCGCTCCCAGCCAGCAGAACCACCCCGCCACCCCCCACTCCCATGTGCCACTCCACCTGCCCCCATCAGTTGGAGTTCACCAGCCATGCCTGGCCCAAACCCTAGAAGTGTTGATCACTCACAACTCCCAGAATAAGGCCATTAAATAAAGTACTGAAGTCACCATGTGCTCATTGCCTAAAACCAATGGGTTCAGACTGGTGCCAAATTAATTAAGTGTGAATTAGCAGCAGTAAGCCTCTTATGATGGTATATCATGTAGCAACAAGCTCCTGGACTTAAAGAGTCAAACTATATCCAAAGCTCATGGCTTGGTTCTTTTTTACTGGCTTAGCACTAAGTTCTAGCTCCTGTTAATCCTAGCTCAGGGGCTTGCTTTATGTAAGGTGTCTGTAAAAAGTGTTTATTTTTTTCCCCTTCTCTCTTTGTACTTAGGGTTGCATGACAGAGTTTACAGCTTGCCAGACATCAACAACAGTAAGTTAGAGTTCTTTTAAATATCGCTTAAAACAAAGCTACATTGCATAGACTGTCCTGACAGCTCAGCGTGTAGACACACAAGAGTGTAGGTCACTCGACACAAGGGTAAAATTACTTCTTGGAAATTCGGGAGCACTTATACTCTCATGGAAGGGGTGTATGTACACAGCTCCAGTCAATTTTATTCAAGATAGCATTTTGGTCCATGCAGAAAGCCTCCCTGCCTAGTGACCAGGCTCTGCAGCAGCACTTATCGCTGGCAGTTACCTCAGAAGAGCTGATCTTGCCTGCTGTGAACACTGGTAGAGTTTAAAGCAGTGTACACACCGACTGCTAGTTACACCAGTGTTCATGTGTCGTGTCTGCACCTCAGATTAGTACCCATGGAGTTTCCCAAGTCATCTGCTTTCCATGTCCTCTTAGTTCCTGTAAGTCCAAAGTGCTATATCAGGAAGCTTTGAAGTTCAGCACCTCCATCGTGATCGGTGTGATCTTTAATACTGATCCTTCTCTAAATTACATGCCTCAGTTTAAGCACATTTGCATCCTCTTGAAGTCAAAGGAGTTAATCATTTGCTTAAAACTGGGCATGTATTTAAGAACCATGTTGAATGTGGATTCATGCAGGTGATGATCAAGTCTTCCCCTTTGATATGAACAGACGGTTTGTTGATCTTAGTGACTTGCACTCTTAAGGCTTGCGAAGAGTCTGTTGCTTAACCCTCCCTCCCACAGTATATCCTCATATTGAGACTGGTGGGGCTGCTTGTTACAGTGTGACCAGATGTGACAGTCAGGAGCCAGGATCCATTCATAGGGAGGGATTGGCACAGGTAGCAACTATAGTTTGGATTTTCTCTTCATAGTGCCTGATCCAAAAGGCAGGTGGGAGTCAGGAATAAAATGGACATAAAACCATATAGGGCTGAAGTTAGAGGTGAAACCCTGCAGTTACCAACTGAAACTCAAGAGCATATATCTACACATGCAATTAACGCAAAGCAATACTGCTCTTGGGTACACTGTTGGAACGGGTGCCCAGGACCACAGCATGTTGAGCCAGATGGAGCAGCCCCAGCTAGCAGGAGGCCTGGGGGGTCAGCCTGCCAGCCCTGGGCTGTTTCTCCCCACCCTGAGCGCAACATGCAGTGGAAGGGCTGGTTGAGGTACAAGGGTGCTCTGGTGTAGGGCTAGCCGGCAGGCAGCCCCCAGACTGAAGCATCCTTGTTTTTTACTCCACATACGCTGCTGTGGAGTAAAAAATTGCACAGCAGGATTGTACTTGTATTTACAAATACTATCCTCCTGTAGAGTTAATTAGTTTACTGCAACCTAATACTGTTGGCTACAAAGGACCAACACTCAGGATCATCATAAATTCTAGTTTATTGGTCGGAATGCGAAGTTATCAATAAAATCATAAATGCAAACATGCCTGTCTGATCTCGAACATCTGGTCATGCGCCGCGCGGACCTGGATGTTCAAGGGTGTTTGTCTATCCGTCCACACTGTCCTGCCGAGGTAGATGTCTCTCTCCCAAGTAGTCTTCTCCCCAGTCTCGCCTGCCACGACTTTGGATCTCATTCTAGTGGCGGGGGGACCGACTGCCGGGGTCCTCTTGA